ATTGGGACTGATACGTTTCATGATGTTCGCATGCCACATAAGTCTGGAGGCTACAATTTTTTACAGTACTTTTCCAAAGCAAGGGATGAGAGAGTGGGTCTATAGTTGTTTGCGTCTCCAGCGGGCTTGTTTGGTTTTAGTATGGGAACTATGCACACAGTTTTCCAATGTTATGGGCAGGGTTCGGATTTGCCTCATTTTAGCCCCTCGCACGCTCGTTAGTTTGCTCTGAGCTAGCGCAACACACGAGCAACACGTGAGGCTGTTTGCAAATGAGCACTCGTTAAGTACGAGCGCACGCGCTGAGCAGCCAGCGAGCGAGTAAGCAAACGAGGGCAGCGCAAGAGTAGAGCGGCAAGCAAACGAGGGCCTCATTAGCTCTGCCCTCGCGAGGGCGTCGTTGCGAGCGAGGCACTCATTTGCAGCAGCAGACGAGCGAGGCAAATGAGGCAAGCAGATTAGACAGGCAAACGCGTTGTTTGGTCGGCAAAAATGTATGGGATAAAAATTGCAACAACTAAGAATTTCGAGTAAAGGATTGTATGCACGCATGCAGATATGTATATACATACATATGTATATACACATATGTTTGTATATATTCTCATGCACAGAAGAATAGATTCGTGCTATTTGGACCAGTTTTATCTACTAGGTAGGCACATATGTGCATACATATCTATGTAGGTATAATGTTTTTAATGTTCAATAATTTCTTATAAAATTTCAACTTATACACTTAGGTCTCTTTTTATGCGGTTCTTTTTTATGCGGATTTGAATTTATGCGGTTTTTCAAACACTTTTCGCTGTAGCGATTTTGCTTTTTTGAGAGCTTTTATTACTTTTTTTCAATATGCAAGGGGCAATGCTTCTGATAAATAATTTGTTGTTGTATTCTTACATACAAGTAATTACTAAGTAATTTGACTAAGTAACTATGTTACATATGTATAAATGAGAACATAATATTTATAAAAATCATTATTTTGTCTTTCATTTCATAAATGAGTAGGACATCAGCATTTTCAAATGAATATTCCTGGTTTAGCCCCATACATATATATGTATGTAGGATAATACAAACTACTATTTGATAATTAAGGCTGGTCCACATAGAACTTTCGCGTTGACTTTGTAGTTGGCGTTGGTTTGACAGAACGCACGTTAAAAGTATGCGTTCTACAATGAAGCTTGGCAGAGACTACTTTGGCCACTAAATTAACATATTAACGAGAAATAAATTAATATTTCATATCAATAATAGCATGAAAAATATATTTCTTGCCTTCATTTGATTAAAAGGAAAAAACATTTCATTTAATTTTATTTATTTGCAACAGCTGGCGACCGACGCAGCGATCTTTCTGCTTTGTGTTGGCCTTAGCGTTGCCAAATTTTGGATATGTGGACGGCTGCTTTGAAATTCGACGCCAACGCAACGCCAAAGTTGTATGCGAACCGGTCTCTATTCTTTGTTTACGCAAATTTTCCCATGTCTACATATCCATATATACATGCATACATATGTACACATGTCCTTGAACAACAGGCCACAAATAAATTTTTTCACCAAGGACTATATTTCATTCAGGTATACAGCATAACTGCTACAAGTAGAAAACTATTTTTTGTTAGCAAGTGCTTACTTGTTTTTTGTTTCTGCGGCACAAACGATTATAATATCTTCGTTACTTACTTTTCTCTGTAAAGACAAAATACTTGCATATGTACATACATATATAAATGCATATATACATAAATACGTACATACAAACATATATAAATATGCATGTTATGTGTGTACACATGTATGAATATAACTCTAAAAAATAATTCATTACATAATTTATGCTTATGTAGTACACTCGGAACGCTCGCTCGTCGCTCACTCGTCTTTCCTAGCAGAGTGAGCCCAGCAAACACAGTCTCTAACGTTAGAGAAATTTGGATTTCTACATGAGATAACTAGGGTAATTCTCTAATCGTTCTCGAGCCGATGACAAAATTAGAGAATTACATTAGAATTCGATTCGAGAACGATTAGAGAAACAGCGCGAATTCAAATAAATGTAAATAAACAATATTCCAAATGAATTACTCATAAATTATTTTTAAGTTCAAATAATTCATTATTATTTTATTGCAAATACATTTAATACAAATTTTACAAACAAAGCAAGGCAAAACAGCAGTTTGAAATTCACATTCGAATCCCATTAGAGATCAACATTGGAATACGATTAGAGAATTAATATTTTCTCGAGTCGAGAACTATGTCCCATTTTTGTTGAGATCGCTATGATTCTCGATAGTTTTTCGAGTCGTTCTCTAACGTTTGAGATTGGAGAATGTGGCTAGCCCTCCAATCAGTCTCTAATCGATAACTAACCTCAATGTTTGCTGGGAGTATGCAGACAGCTACTCGCCTCGCACTGCGAGCGAGACAACACCCAACAGCCTCGCTCATTTAATAGGAGCGCGAGCAAACAAGCAGCGCTCGCTCGTTTGGCGAGCGAGCCAAACTTCTCGTGCCTCGCCCCATTGCTGCTACGAGTACGAACTGCGAGCGCCTCGTTGTCTGCGAGGCATTGAGTAGGAGTTTGCTCACTCGCTCGCTCGAACTCAGAGTTTTTGCCCACCCATGTTGTGGGTAGTGTCCTTGGTCGAGAATAAGGTTGTAAAGGTTAAGTATTCGTTGTTTTACTTAGATGGGTAGTTATTGGATGATGGGGTATGATACCTTTTCAAGCCCTGGTGTTTTACCTTTAACTGATGAGAGTACGAATTCGAGTTCAGCTTAGTTTATTTTTGCTTCGATTTGCTTGGCGTGTGTCGAGAGGTGTTGATTTGTCAAAGGATCATCTTGCAGGTATTCCGCTTTGACTTTGCCGAAAGTATCTTAAAGTTTGAATCGGAGGAAACAGACGAAAAGGAAGAAGCGAAATAGTTGGCAATTTGCAGCGGTGTGGTTATCGTTCCGTTAGGAGAGTTAATGCTGGATAGATAAGAAGCCAGTGAGCTTCTTAATGCCACTCCAAACGTCCTTAGGTTTGATGTGGGACATATTTTCGATGTGATCTTTTCAAAGCTTTGTTTTTTAGCTGTTCTTACAGCTCTCCTTAAAAGGGCATTAGCTCTTTTATATGTTAAAATATTGTTATCAGAGCGGGGGCGTTTATAATTCTGCCATTCACGCTGTTTCTGCAGACGAAGGGTGGATAAGTTGGCATTCTAGCAGGGGATCCTTTTTTTTTGTAATTGCACGGTGTGGCTTGCGGAATAGTTAAGGGGCGGCGGTGCGAACAATTCTTAGAATTTTTGCTGCTTTTTGGTGAATGTTGTTTGTCGAAGGCGTGTTTCGGCAAAGTTGGAGGCAGCGGGTAGTAAAATTATCCCAGTCCGCGACTTCTGTCTTGAATTTGCTAATGTGCTTATACTGAATTGATTTCCGTAAAAAATGATACGTGTTTAGGATCGGGAAGTGATCACTTCCATGCAAGGAGTCTACTACACGCCAGGCGCATTACGGTGCTAGGGCAGCAGAACAGAAGGTGAGGTCGATGCTGGTGAAGGTGTTGTGGGTTGAGAAATGCGTGGCGGTGCCGTCATTTAGACATATAAGATTAGAAGCCAGTAACGTGTCTTTAACTATTGACCTTCTTTGATTGGATTGGGTATCGCCCCAGATTGTGCTCCGTGCGTTGAAGTTCGCTCCTATGATGCAGTTAGTATTGACCTGTCTTGGCAAGCGCATGAGTTCAGCGGCAGTAAACACTTGCGTTAGGGGGATGTAGATACATATGGATTTTGTCCATTTTTAATACCAGCCGTCCTACGCCCGAAAGAAGTACACGTACTAAGTCTCATTAATACGTATATTTTGCTTAGCTGCACATCCTTCTTTGCACGAAAAACTTGTGCACTTAACCGAAAAAGGCACTTAAGCGAATTTTCTTTACTACTTCAATGAGAAAGGTATCCAAATCCCTATGAAACCAAATAATGGAGAAGCACTTACCACATAGAAATTACTGCAAGCGACATTTTTACCGAATAGTATCTAATTATCTATATAACTACATAAATTTATAGCCATTTTCGTTGTTCTCAGAGATGAGCAAAATAAATAAAGGTTGTAAAATTAGGTAATTGTAGGGTCAGTGCAGGTAAACGTAATACTTTCTTTGATAATTGATACTAGTTGCACAATTTTTTAGGGCAGGTATCGCCAATGTGCAGGTATGTTGAATGCATCTATCGAATCAGTTTCCTTATAAATATTTAAAATAATGCCTCTGATGCACATTTTGGGGTAGGCATCTTAAATGTGCACGTAAGCACAAAGGCAGCAAAGCAAAATATACTGTATATCTAAATTTTTACTCGACACACTGTGCACAGACGGACGGATGGACAGACAGACAGTCACCGCTTAATCGATTTCTCTGTTCATCCTGATCATTTATGTATACATTTGTCTATATCTATTTCTATTCGTTTTACCTGTTACAAACAACCGTTATGTGTACAAAGTTATAATACCCTTGTGCACAAGTGCGCACGGGTATATCCCAGCAAACAAATAGGTTGATTTGAAATCAAAGCCTTTATCAAATGTCAAACGTTTGAAAATGATTTGATATTGATTTGAAAACTACAGCTTTCTCAATAAAAAGGGGAGTTTGATCTCCATTTGAGAATATGGTTAACTCTCAAATCAATTTCAAAGGTTATTTATCAAATGTAATAAATAAATTTATAATAGGAAATGTATATTTAATATTTATTTTTTCTTCGCGATGTACATATGTATGTACATAACAAAAGAAACAATTAAGATAAAGTAATTTATAATAATTCGTCTTGACGGGCTGCAGCTTTTTCAATCGGCGCAAACATCAAATCCACTATTGGTGGGCTTTCTCTTAAAAATTTTTCCTATTCATTGTTTTTTTTTTCAATTGATCTTAATTTTTTTCTTACAATTTTTGATTTAACTGCGTATTTTTATAACGTTTGATACTTGTCATCTTTCTTCAAATCAACCTCAAATGAATTTCAAATGTAAAATTTAAACCTCGCTTTCAATTTGAGAATCATTTGAGAAAAACATTTGATATCAAATTGAGAAATACATTTTTCTCAAACGTTTGAAACTGTGTTTGCTCGGATTATGAGAACGTGTAAACTCATCAGTTATATTTCTATTGAATTAATTTTACTACTAAATCGGCTGACAATGTCGGTCAGATTATACGAACGGTAAACAAATGTTTAAATATGAAAAATATATTTAAAAATGACAGCATAACATTTATAACATAGATGAAATCATACTAGCTTACTTTTTTTTATACACATTAACTTAAATTTTAAAACTCATTTCCACCCGTATTTATAACAACGAACACAGATTAAATTGTTTTTAATGACATAATTAACTCTTCGACAAACGCAAAAATATGTACGTATGTATGTATTTAAACACTTGTAATAGTTATAAGTCCTACTGGCTAGATTGTCAGCAGCATTTACAAGTACAAATGATTCGACTAGGAAATAACGCTATCAAATTAGTAAAAGTTCTATTTTCTATAATGAGTGCGTACATATGGATATTTACATATGCTGTTGAAAAATATGATGTTAGTTATAATTTGGTTCTACTAAAACATAGAACTTTTTTGTGAGAAGAAGCAAGGTTTATGCTTGCATTTATTCGGAATCATCCTCACTACTTTCATATTCACTGTCTGGCGGTGTGAGCGGTTCGACGCCATGCTTTTCTAAAATATTTTGCATTTTCGATCGCTTCAAAATGCACGCAAATTGATATGCAGTTAGACGACCAAACGTGGTTGTTTCCAAATCCAATTTCTGTTTGCATTGATCCAGTAGAAAATTGAAAAGCTCTTCATTACCCTTTTCAATGGAAATGTGCAACGGTGTGTAGCCGCCCTTTCCTTCCTGTACATAGTTGAGAGCATAAATTAGATTTTATTCTTGCATTTGTAACAGTCAAAATACTCACTCTTGCATTGATATCAGCGCCGCAGTGAACTAAAATGCTTAATATTTTCAAATGGCCCGCCTCGGCCGCTAAGTGAACACAGAATTCACCTGAAAGAAATATAAAGAAAATGAATTTTAAGATGTAAAATCATTTAATCCACAAATCAGGGCACATTTCATTGTTTTAACTAGTTTGGTAACAATCAGTACGAAATCTATACATAAATGTATTTTTGACTGTAAATTGCACCCGACTTTTTAATTTGCTCATATATTTTCTTAGTACATGCACATACAAGACCATGCCCTCAAGACCAATGATTTGATGGCACGAGAAAGTTTACTTGTTTAAGTACATACATTTACACTTTTAAATATTGATTAACATATATATGTGTGCACACATTTTTAGGTACACTTCCTAACCAAAAGCATTTTTAAGTCATTCCTAATGGAAAAAAGAGGCATCTTCTTTGGATTCGGTACTAAAACTGAACATAGCATTTCATTAGTAATTTTAATATTATGGCGACACCCACACATCGACAATATTTGACTATTTATCTTAATATTATTTAATTTTAATTATTTGTATAAAAAAGTACAGTTTATACTTTAACGAAAACCGTATAAATCTAAGGTCCAATTTTTGTGCAACATTGTCCAATGGTTCTGAGAAATTAGTTAATTCCAGATTTTTTGTTTTTCGATGTAAAAATTAACAAATTCAAACTTTAAACTGGAAAAAATAACAAATAAGATTATGTGTCATTTTTTTCATTTGTGTTAAGGCCTTTTCTGTTACAAATAAATCAAGCTACCAATGGACAAAATCGATGGATGGATAAATAAAGAAGGAATGAGTGGTCAAATAAAAAAGGCACACAGATTTTTGTATGAAAAATGAGCAGGAAATAATGCTACTCATACGCCGTGTACACCTGAGTAACTCTATTTTCTGCTTATTCATTTCACAACTCATTCCTTTCTTATTTATTCATCGATTTTCTTCATTGGCAGATTCATTTTTTTTTTGTAAAAGAACAGGCTTTCATACAAAATAAAAAAAGAATTCAGAAAATGTTAATTTTTTTCATTTTTTCATAAAAAAAAAATGTGGAACTATTAATTAGTTTCTCAGAAACCATCAGGCCTGTCGAAGAGTGATGTATTACGGTTTATGGAGAATTTGATTATCTTTACTTCGTATTACGATTGTTCAATTGGTTCGAAAGATATGCATAGGTGATTAAGTGGATCTACTCTTTTTTAAGCTGAAATTGCAAATATCTCAGAAAGTTATCCATTAGAGAAAAACGTGGATTTGATTTTCGGAATCACTGAGCAATTCCACATAGGAATTGGATAGTGGCATCGGGTGAAGAAATTAAAGCTCATTTCGACATTTTGTTTTAAGATTTAGTATCGAAAATTGAATGGGAAGATGATAGCACACCTTGTGGTTTGGTATTTTTAGCACTTACAATGCAAATTCGAAAAATTCAAAAAAAAAGAGAGTACAAAATTTCCTGCTGTGAATTTTCAGAGCTATATATTTTTAGCATTCATCATAAAATTGTACTAAAAATATTTAAAGTTTATTGTGAAAGAAATAGTATAAAAAAAATACAACTGTACAAAAAATGCAAACAGCGTTTCGCCTGCCTTGACGCTCTTATTAAAAAATTACAAGCCGTGCACGACATGGTTGTGGAACACAACTGCAAATATTGCCACACCCCACAAGCCCTTTATGTGTTTACAGCATAACTCGAAGTGACTTCGAGTAGCTTGTGGAACAAACCTAATATCATATCAATGTGTTTTAACTGATAGAAAATATATGTACAATTATATCTTATCAACCACCGCGAATCCCCTAAGAAATTAAGGCGCTTAACAGCCTTAGGAATCTCCTAGGTATGTATGATGAGAGCAAAATCACTAAAATTGTGTTTGCACACACAATGGTAGCATACCTACATATCTACGTATGTACAATGTGGATATATACATATATGTACAGTATTTTACATATCTACAGATCCCCCCTTTCAAGGTGAAATTGTTTGCCACTTTCAGAATTTTCAATTAAAGTACAGTTCATTCTCTAACAAAACTCTTGTAAACCCAAGTTTAAAACTTTTTTAAAGACTACTAAATAATGCAACCAATTTTCACCCCAATTTCAAACTTTTTTCTCAGAAGTGCTAGAATTTTTCTGAGTACACAGTTTTATAGCCCATTCCATTTTAATAATGGGCAAGGCTCAAGTGGCTAAAAACTACCGTTGATTTTTTAGAATTTTTTTTTCGCATTTGCTCCCATATAACGAATAACCACAATTTATTTTTATATTGAAGAAACCCGAAACTCCTTAGGCTAAATTGTATGGGCTATAAAACTGTGTACTCAGAAAAATTCTAGCACTTCTGAGAAAAAAGTTTGATATTAGGGTGAAAATTTGTTGCATTATTTTGCAGTCTTTTAAAAAGTTTTAAACTTGGGTTTATATGAGTCTTGTTAGAGAATGAACTGTATTTTAATTGTAAATTCCCAAAAATATATATACAAACATGAGGGACAAACAATATCACTTTGAAATGGGTGTGCTATTGTATTGGCCAATACTGTATATGTATTGATGCCAACGATAAAGCCATGCGCAGCGAATTATGACGCCGAGAAAACGTGCCTGCATTAGCGTCTGGGCAAGTGTGAATTTAGAAAAACCCGACAAATTCCCATAATAAAACAAACACATATGTAAGTAACAAACAAACGAAAAACACAGTAAGGCGAGTTAAATTCGCAAAAGCTATTTAAACAAAAAAGGGTAAAAAGGAATAATGCTTGGAATCAACGTTATTGCCGACGGTATTGATAGCTCTAATATAAATGCAAATGAATATGAAAAATAAAAATAAACACTGCTGTGTTCTAAATAAAACCGCCACCTGCAGAAACAATGCGCAACAGGTTTGCAAATGTAGAAGTTTGAAAATTATACCGCTACAAAAAATAGTCGTATGATATTATCTAGCAGGACCGAAAATTTTAAGCTTTTACTTGGAATTGCTTTTTTGGTTATTTGGTTGAATCCTTTCGTTTCGTCTCACTGGATTGTTAAATAAACATGCTCAAATTACTGTACATCTGGCTTTATTGTACAAGAAAATTTTTACAACATACTTGTAACACCCGTAGCTTGCAATATTTGTAACAGAACCTTGGCTTGACACAGCTGAATAATTTGAATCAAATACGTTCAGTAATTATAAAACTCAGCAATGAAGATACCGATATCATTCGTCGTCGGATACCAAAAATTTCAAACTAAAGGTTTGTCCCTGCAAGAAGGAATTGGAGTTATTGAAAACTGTACTTAAATTTTTGCTGTTATTTCCCCCCCCCCCACGCTTTTCATTTTCAATCTCATAAATTTTTTATAATGACTTTTGCTAAAATTCCAAAATCAAAAGTTATCAAAACAAGTTCTATGGGACTGAGAAATATTATTTTCTAATTTTAGTCCATTTATAAAAGTAAGGTACATTAAAAAGTTTTTTTTTTTAAATTTATTTTATACTTTTTAGTCTTGTCTGTATAAAATTTTGCAATAGATACTAAAATAATTCAACTTGCAGTGAAAAGAGAACAGAAGACTATGCAAGCAAAATGTTGTTTGCTCACATTTAGTATATGCCTACATATGTACATACATACATACATATAGCAGCAATTAATTACAAATAAAGAAATGGCGTGTCGTCCATTTCCGCTGTAGCGTATGTAGTACATATTTTTAACTTCTTCTGGCGAGGCGACATCTATCTCTAGAGTTTTTCTAATTGTATGTCTTTGTTATGATACCTACGACGAGGTTGATATCTAGACTAGGTTTGCCATAAATACCTTTGCTATATTTATAGTATGGTGGTCTGGACATACAACATTGCAAGTTGATAAAAGCGTTGTAATAAGGCAATTTCCATAAAATCCGTTCCAATTCCCTCTTTGACTGTGAGTGATGGTGGACGCGTTCGGCGCATAGTAGTGTTTAAAAAACTTTTCTTTTGGCGCATTAGCACATGTGTATGTGCAATATACATTTATCTGTGGACTGCAAATCTGTATAAGTACAGTGAATTGGAAACCTGTAAAAGTACAGCTAACTGTGAAGCTCAGCGCTTCATGTGGGGCGATTCTGCCTATTAATAATCTTAACCTTTGTGAAAATTTATACTTGGACACCACATTGTGTGATAGCAGCAAGAGGTCAGGTGAGTGATTATAACCTGGTAGGGTTGTGAAATCTTTCAGCTTCTGCGCTGGTTTTGTGCTCATAACTTAAAAGTTCTGATTAAATAAAATTAAGCCTGCCGCGTACGGCAGGAAAAACTAAAGCCGCTATGGCGTNTAAAATCCGTTCCCTCATTATAAATCTTGTACAAAGTTTAAAGCTTTGAGTTATACGGGTTTCGGTGGTTAGAAGTGCGCGCTATGACTCCGCAGAACCTGGGTTCAAGTCCGGTTCAACCCAGCATCAAAAAATAAAAAATAAAAAGTGTTTTTCTAATAGCGGTGGCCCCTCGACAGGCAGTGGCAAACATCCGAGTGTATTTCTGCCATGAACAATAGCTTCTCATAAAAATACAATCGCCGTTCGGAGTCGGCATAAAACTGTAGGTCCCTCCCCTTTATGTGACAACATCAAGGCGCGCCGCAAATCGGAGGAGAAGCTCGGCGAAACACTCAACATATGTGTAAGCGCCAATTTATTATTATCACTATTATTATACGGGCTTCGTGGTAGCAAGAACTATATTTTCCTAAACAAATTCCTTAAAACAAATAAATAAAAATAGATGATCGAAACTTGTAAAGACAAATCGCCTCTAATTATCGGGCCACTAGTGTATGTATGTATGTATGTATGTATATATGTATGTTTTTATATTCATGCTTTCATGTGTGTAAGCAGGTCAAGATAAAATGTGCCGGGCCCCCAATATTACTCATCTTGATTAGCTGGGAAAACTAACTATGCATCAGCGGGAACTGCCATGTTTATCCCTACCTCCCAGCATGTAAATTGCCTTTGAATT